TAGATCTATTTTGTCTAAAACCGTATTGCGAGTCAGATAACAACTGGTTTTTTTCCAAGAATTTGTTTAACCTCTTCTCCATAATTTTTTTGAATACTTTGGCCAGGCAGGAAATTATTGAAATCGGTCTGTAATTAGCCGTAACTGTTCTTTCTCCTTGTTTAAAAATTGGGGTTACTGTGGCAAGTTTAAAGGCTGATGGGAAATGGACTTTCTCTAGTGATAAATGTGATATGGTATTGGTTTTGTAATATGATCACTAATTCCCTTCAATACTTCCGCTTTTATACCATCCCAGCCCAGAGATTTATTATTTTTTAATTGCATTATGATCTGCTTAATTTCTTTTCATCGTGGGATATGTATTCTAGAACTCGTCATAATGTGCCAGCATCTTACTATGGTATAATTTCTGTTATTATTAATACTTAAAATTATTCAAATAGTGCTAAGGGCTAGAACTCTTCGCGATTCCATGCAGAGTGTTAAGTTATCATTTAAAAGCATTATGTGTCCTAGAAGTTGTCATAGCATTTTACAGCATTTTACTAACGTCTAAAATTTTTGTATAATATTTATAATTTTTTTAAGAGGGCCAGAGCTATAAATGAAATAATTTAGCTATGCAAACTATCAAGAACTGTAGAACTATTCATAAAAAATCAATTTACCGTCTGCTTTTTTTATTTTATTTATTTTATTATATTGGGATGCTAACTTCCGGTCGTTAGCATCTCATTTTTTAAATTGCAATATTTGGTACTAAATTCAACAGAACTATTGATAAAAAGTATTCGGAACTATAGAACTATGTCGGATGCATTAAGAACTCTTCCTAAAATATGAGATGCTAACTTCACACACCCCAATAACTACAACTATTTCATAGATTTTTAACACGACTATTTCGGAACACGCCCTTTAGTAATAAATCTAGTTACTTTTGGTGGTGTGAGAGTGGCTTTTCGAATTACTCCTCATGGTTAATAAATAAACTATAATTGATGAAAATAAATTGAGGCATTGATTTCAAAAACAGCATAAGTCCAAAAAATTAGTTTTGAGTGAATAGGAAAAAACATTTTACCTTGATGTACTTTCAACTTACTAACCAAATAAGTATTTAGATACATTTTAGGCACTTAAGGGTGTTTCCTACTATTTTAAATATAAAAGAGGAAGTGAGGTTACGTTTCACTTGTTAATATTATTTCTTACCGAAGAATATGGGCGTCGTTTTAGGAGAAAAAAGGAAAATAAAATATGCATATTAAAAAAAAGTAAAATTATTATTAGTGTTCCAAAATACGAATTAGAAGAAACTTATGGTTAGAGGCACTTGAATGGACTGAAATGTTAGAAGTTGAACGAATATATTACATTTGTTCAATGCACTTTTTGGAGGACGGCCTTGCTGCAACAAATATATTTATAAGTTTGTACGTTTCTAAATAATATCGAGCACTTTTAAAAATTGTATCTTTACTTTTTAGGAACTTTGTATTACACAAAGTAGGAAAAAAGAGTAGTGGTGAACCTATGCCACCTAAAAAAAAATAGAAGGTATTGTGTTTAATAAATTTGGCAAATCAATAATATGTTTGAATGTTTTTAGTATAGTAATTTCTTCAGATACTAAATTATTTGATTATGGGCCTTATTTAAGAGTATTAAAATTGCCAACAAATAAAAGAAGTTATAGTTTGAACAAAAATATCTCATACACTTCAATATTAAATTCAAGGTATGACTCTGAAATTCTCATCAACAAAATTTGAGTCACCATTAATTAAGAAGTAAATCAAACATTGGATTTGATCTAAGCTGATACATTAAATTGTATATGAATACCTATTTCAGAAAACCTAGATATTTTGGTAACTTTACATTGAAGTTTCTAGAAAATCGGTCATTACGAAGACTTTTTTGTTGCCAACAGTACTGCTTCAAAGTTACGAAACAGAAATAAAATATTACAGACACAATTAAGATGAGTGAAAAAGTATGTGCAATATCAAAAAAATTATTAGTTTTTGGACGCATACTGTATATATTTGTACATGGTCTAAAATATAAACTATCATCAGTAATATAAAAATATTTAGTTACCTAATTTAAATAAAGTAACTAGATAATTTATATTTTAAACGAAGTCATTAGAAAAGTAAATTAAATTCCTATATATTTTTTTAATATCCTGAAATACTTCTACTTATGCTAAATAGGTAAATATATATTGGTTTGTTTTATTTTTATTAGGAATATTTTGTCATGTTTAAATTAAATGTATTTCTTCAGTTCTACCATTGTATAGCTTTTCAACAGGGATAGATATTTTATAGAATTCCAAATCCTTGCTGTAATTCTAAATGTTTTAGAAGCAATCAAATATTTATTATATTTTTTGACATGACAATAATGTCATATTTTGTTTTCAGTTCAACAAAAACGTACCTATCTTTTAAAACATTATTTTGTACTTTTTTAATCTATTTGCAGCACATACTTTGATTTTCTTTTACTATACGGAGAATGGTCGCACTGCGCAGCTTTCTGAGTGCCTTTTAAAAGGAGATAGAAAACTCCGCCATTTTGAACCCTTATTACGTGTTGCCTACATCTTGGTGCAATATTTTTAATATTTTGCTTGCTGCTGTCAGTGTCAGTGAATATTATTTTTGAAGTCACAGTTTATTGCTAAAGAATCAGTTAGCTCACTCGGACTAGTTGAAAGTTCCAAAATAACATCCACTTCAGGGATACAAATTCAGGATACACAAAAGACTGCTGTTTTATTATAGGCGGTTGTCATATATTGTATTATCCGAGTTGCACAGTGTATAAACTGAAACATTGGGATCAAAAGTGCCGACGCAGAGTGAGCGATCTGATTCTTTAGCTGTAAACTGTGTCACAGGGTTTAAAATGGCTGCGCCCTATGTTGATCGTGTCGAACCTCTCTCTTGCCTCGTATAGTAATCAAAGTATGTGATTTGCAGTCACTATTTTCACGATGCAATCCGTTTACGTACGCTTCTGCTGAAGATTCTAATATGAGCGAGAAAGCCTGCATTAGAAAAAGAAACAATGATTTTATTAGAGCGACATCAACATTGTATAGATTTATACAGGGGTAGCCTATATGTACCATATATTATCTAAGGTAAGTGTAGCACTGAGCTACGTCACTTCTGAAAATATCGTTCCATCCATACAATTTGTATAAATGAAACGATATTTTCAGAAGTGGTGCAGCTCATTACTATACTTTCGATGCAAAGGAAAAGACCAATTACAAACCTAAAGGTTTGACATTAAAGTCCTTGTCCTTACACCTACATATTTATAACCTCTATTTAAATATTTTATCGAAAAGGCATTAACAATTACCAGTTTAGAAGATTTAGATGACGATAATGTTAAATATTTAATTTAAAAAAAATTCTAACTGATACGAATGTCGGCGAGCGCACCTGAAAGCTATAAAGTCGCCACTATTTGCAGCCCTTAAAAAAGGACAGGCACAATCTTCAATAAAGTCAATTCCAGAACGTAAACGATCTGCGCATGCTCAGATGTCAAAACAAGAACGGCGATAACAATGACTAACCTTAAGTGAACTTGCCTTTATCTCGTTAATATTTGGCTTACCCAGTAAAAAAAAAACAACTAGACTTGTTTTTACCAGAATTAAAGCGAAACAGACCAGTTGATCATTCTGGAATTTACTTGCTTCTATGGTGTGTGTATATATTCTAAACCAGAGGTTTCCAACGATTTCTGGAATTCAATACATAACTGTTCATGGTGGCAATGTAGAAGTGTTTATAGAAAAATGCAGACCTCATATTTAAAAGTCCAACAAAAAGCTGGGATTTACCGTAATAATGTGAACAGAGAAAATTTTGAAAAATGGTTTAAGACGAAACTTACACCTAGTCTGGAACATCAATCTTTGATTATAATTGATAATGCCAGATTTAATTCACGATACGTGGAACCAATTCCATGTTATAGTTGAACAAAAGATAAAATGGTAAAATGGTTGCAGGAAAAGAACATTAATTATCCAGTCAATGGTATGAAATATCAAAATTGGGAAGTTGTACGTCAAAATCTACCATGAAAAGAATTCCACCTAGATAGATATGTTGAGGAATATGGGCATAAAATATTAAGTACTCCATATCACTGCTCTGAAACATTTTTTGATTTTGATATTTGATATGTTAAAAGTAATTTTAACAACTTCTGTACTACTGCTTACAATCCAGGGTAAAGAACTCATATTGATTTTTGGAGCCGAAATTCTTGTTATACATGTTTAAATTTTATTTTGAGTTCTTTGTTAGTTACGAGTTAGTTTCTCTTCCAAATTTGCACTCGGTATTTAAAATATCTTGGAAACGCTCCATAAAATCAAAATGAAGAACTCTCCAAGTGTTTGAAATAAGTAATTAAATCTTAAATATTCCTGATTCGCAGAGACTGTTGATAGTCTGGGAAAGTTTTTGTGTTCACCTCTACCTAGATTTAGTTTGAATAAAATAGGTTTTTCCCAAAAGCAGCTATGACGCTTTTTCATTTAAAAAAGTTCAACTCATCACTTTGTAAACAGGTCTGACAAATATGCGATGTCATTTTATAAGAGAATCAGGGTTTCTTGAAATGTTTCATCTCTTTCCTCAAGTCTCAGTTAAGAACTGAGTCAAATAGATTTAAAAAACGGCAACACGGTTAGAGAGCCATATGTTTTGGACAAATGCTGTTTTTAATATATAAACAACTTGGACATATGTTGTTTTTGCTGAATCGATTATAATTTAGAGTGCTATAAATCGGCACAAGAGCGGTTTCTGCAGGAACTGCTTAGATTATCAAATAGCTTATAAAATACTCTATTAGATGCTACTAAGATCTCTAATTTGATAATTTTCCACTTACTCTGTTTTTGAAATTCACGCCTCAAATTATTAATTGTAATTATTTTTATATTTCAGCTTCTGCCAGCCATTTTAGCTCTAGTCCAAGCACGTCCTCAAGGCTACGATTATCCAGTTCCATCAGGTGGACCTTTTAATCTAGATAATGGTTATACAAGTGGCTCCTCATCATCTTCGGTATTTCAATCTGGTTTAGGATCGAACCATTTCTCTAATCCAGGATCAATAGTAACAAAACATATCTACGTACATGTTCCACCTCCAGATCTAGAAGAACAACAGCAGAGATTGCAACCCGTTTTCTATCCTCCTAAAAAGACTTATAAAATTATTTTCATCAAAACGCCAACTGCGCCGGCAGCATCTTACGCATCTCCAAGTGTAATCCAACCACAATCCCAAGATAAAACTCTTATTTACGTGTTGGTAAAGAAACCCGAAGATCAAGCAGATATACAAATTCCGGAAGTGGTCCCAACGCAACCTTCTAAACCGGAAGTTTATTTTATTCGTTACAAGTCACGTAAAAGTCCTGGTGGTAACGGTGGTCCTTTTGAGGGGTTCTCGGGTTCTGGACCTGCTTCTTCATTTGCTGACCCATCAGCCGGAGGAAGTCTACTCGGAACTGATTCGTTTGGTTCAGGATCTTTCCCTGGATATCCAACAGCATCCGGTTCATCACACTCTTCTTCTTTTCATAATGGTATTAGTGGATCCAAACCTTCTAGTAGTTATGGTCCTCCTGGGAATAATGGTGGTCCCTACTAGATAAAAAAAAATACAAATTTTAAAAGAATAGTGTGATATGTTTTTAAACTAAATTTAATTTTAACAAAATACATTATTTTTATGGATCAATTCTATAATGGTCTAGATCTTGTTTGAAAATACTATCAATAATTACTATTGACTTTGTTAATTTTAAGAGAATATCTTTGTATAATATTAAAACTAGCAACAAGTACTAGAGATCTTCTGAAAATTATTGTTAATATATAGTATGTAAAAGAGAAGAGATAGATCCTAAAAAACTGCCTACTTTTTACTACGATTTCTTTTATTGTATGCAAAAAGGAATACAAACAGATTAACCAAAGTTCTAATTATTGTAAACACATAAACTATGTTACGAGACTTTAAGGTAAAAAAAAAATTAAATACTAATTTTTTTGTAAATTTAAAATATAAATATAAAAATCGTATTTATATAAAGTAGTCAGACATTTTAGTTTGATGCACTTTATTTTTAAATTATAAACATAATATTATATTCGTAGGAGATCCCACTCATCTTCTATTTATCCAAATAAAATTGGCTACGTTTATTTTCTTAATTAATCATTTTTAATGTGTTTTACGGTACTTGATTTCACAAGTGCCAAATGTTATTCATCAAAATCATGCCACCGTTTTTAAAATAAATTGATATCATTAATAAATATCAAAAGATTTAACATCTTCCTGATTAGTATTAAAGTCTCGTAAAAATACGTATAGTGGGAATAGTTAAAATTATTATCGAATTCAGATGAAATCGATTAACAAGACTGTATAAATATAAAATAAACTTTTAATTAAACATCAGTATTTTTGTGTATACTTAGTTAATTCAGCAAAGAAAACTTGCATTTCGTGCAATTTTTTAATAAAATAGTAAAGCGCTTCCAGCATTAAGCCGTCTTTATTATTTATTTACAATAATTATAATTGCAAGTTTTCAGTATGTTAAATTCATACAATGATATAAAGGTAGAGTACTGCACGCTAGTCCACTAGGGTAGAGGTGTGTACATACAATTACGTAAAAAACTGTGAATTTTTAAATGTATTTGCTGACGACACCCTACTAGCTGCAAATTTTGAAAATACAATTACTAAAATAAATCAGACACTTCAAAATATTATTGAATTTTTCAATGTAAATAAACTTAAACTATAAGTCAATAAAACTAAAGCAATGATAATAACCTCACAATATAAATACAATCAAATTCATAAAAATCATATTAACATTCACATTGATGGGAAGACGATTCAGTTGGTTGAAGATATTAAGGTTTATATGGACCTCCGGAAAAGTATCTACACGTTCAAAATTTTTGAAAAAATTTGTGAATATTTACATATACAACCTTTAGTATTATTTTACCAAAATTTGATCTGGTTTCTATCATTTGTTCTCAAAAAAAATCGAAAAATTTACTTTTTTACAAGTATAAAACAAATAAACTATAATATAAAGAGAGATCATTATTTCATAAAATGTAGTGGTCGACGCCGATGACACCAAATTTTAAAAATAAAAATAATTAGTTTTGGTTAAAAAACTTACATTCATTTTTTGAAAAATTTGCAGAACTTGCAGAAATTACGTAATTGAAGAATATATATATATTTTATTCTCAAAAATTAGATTTAAACTATAAAAATTAATGTAATAATATTATAGAACATATCTTCAATAATTATATTTGAATACATTGAACTAGAAACATTAATTATTTTTTTATAAATTTACTGAAAAATTCAATTAAACGATAACACTGTTTTAAATTACCTTTTTAAAAGCATTTTCTCTGAGAGGTGCTGCCATTTCAATCAGTACTTTCTAAAATTGCTCACAGACATTGCGTTCGGTCTGCCAAGTTCCTTCAACTCCTTTAACACTTTTTACTCCAAACGACCCTTTTAGCGTTCGGTTTAGTCCACACACTTTGATTTTCTTTTACTATACGGAGAATGGTCGTACTGCGCAGCTTTCTGAGTGCCTTTTAAAAGGAGATAGAAAACTCCGCCATTTTGATCCCTTATTACGTGTTGCCTACATCTTGGCGCAATATTTTTAATAGGTGCGTTTTAATCATCTGCCTCTGCTTCGGAATTGTCGGTTTTCTTGTTTTAATCTGACAGGTTAAAACGACTAAACCGACAATTCCGGAAGCAGAAGCGGATGATTAAAACGCACCTGATATTTTGCTTGCTGCTGTCAGTGTCAGTGAATATTATTTTTGAAGTCACAGTTTATTGCTAAAGAATCAGTTAGCTCACTCGGACCAGTTGAAAGTTCCAAAATAACATCCACTCCAGGGATACAAATTCAGGATACGCAGAAGACTGCTGTTTTATTATAGGCGGTTGTCATATATTGTATTATCCGAGTTGCACAGTGTATAAACTGAAACATTGAGATCAAAAGTGCCGACGCAGAGTGAGCCATCTGATTCTTCAGCTGTAAACTGTGTCACAGGGTTCAAAATGGCGCGCCCTATGTTGGGCGTGTCGGACCTCTCTCTTGCCTCGTATAGTAATCAAAGTGTGTGGGTTTAGTCCGATTAGTGACAGTTTAACACGCTTAAATGTCATTTAAAAGAACCATAAAAAACTCCGCTTTTGTCCCACTCCAGCCCCTGACTATCCGAACTCGCCTATAGAGCACTAAATTTGTTACTCAAACATAAACATAGATTACGGTAATGTGAATAGATGGGAAACTCAATGGTAAAATTCTGAGGCGATGTGCTGCCATCTATAAAATTGGAGTGGTACTAAAATTAAATATGGTGGGCCAAAAAGTGTAATGAAGAAAATCAAACAAAAAAATAAATTGGAAAAATATTTGATTAGTTTCAAATCATAAAACAACCATATTGACTGTTTTGAGATTTGAAACTAGTCAAATATTTTGTCAATTTATATTTTTATTTGATTTTATTTCATTATATTTTTGCATTAATTTCAAACTTGAAATAAAATGCAATTTATTTTTTTTATTACAGTAAATTAACGCCGCATCATATAATTTGTCTATTTAAACATGGAAATGCTCAGACAAATATGCATTTACACCATTTAAATAATTAAATATTTATAAAACAAACCTATTAAAAATGTTTTCTGTAACAAAATCGGCATAATATATAAGTGCTTAAGACCTTTATAAAAGTTTTGCAACTTGGAGTAGCAAATAAGTTTGAAAAAATTGTAGTTGAAGCATCATCCTTTTGGTGTCTTACTATCAAGGCGAATTTGGGTGTGGATAAAATTTGCCATACACTTATTGAGTCGACTACTAGTTAGGTTGAAAAGCATTTCTTCATCCAATAATTGTTTTATTGATTTATTTGTAGAGCACTTGTAGTTATCAAATGCTTATTCATCATCTGGGCACTGTGATAAATGAATTTTAGTCCGGTCAAATTAGACCAAAAAATAGGAGTGAGAGTACAAAAATTCCCACCCAGCTGAAAATTGGTAGGATTGTTCAAAACACCATTATAAATAAAACCTAAAAAGTCCTCATCAATCCGGCACCTGGAAAAAAATTTACTCGTGGTCAAAGTTCAGAGAAACGGGTTTTTCGCGATTTTCAGCAAAACGGTAAGTTTTACCATAAAATTAGTTTAGACAAAAATTGTAGAGCAGATAATTAATTATCTATAAAAAATGTCTAAGATTTTTTTCCTAAGAGCTACCGTTTATCATCTTCATCTTCTGATATTTTATTTGATCAATCAATAATTCCGACCAGTCAACAAAAATTTCTTGCTAATACTCACAACAAATCTCGGTTCATGTCAATGTTAAAAGAAAAGCTTATTGCTAAAAATATATTGGTAAAACAAGCTGACAATGATGCTAATATAATGATAGTTGAAACAGCAACAGAGCAATTCAATTTAACAAATACAACGATTGTTGTAGGTGAAGATGTTGACTTACTCGTATTACTCACTGCTCGGACTCCAATAGAAAAAACTATTTTTTGTTAAAGCCTGGAAAATTTCAACATCAATCCGAAATATATTTATATTTATAATTTTATCTACTTTTGCAAAGTGTCAAAGTCATGTACTATTTTTACACGCAATAACTGGGTGTGATACGACATGGATTTTTCAGGAGGGGTGAAACAACAGTTTTTAAAATGTTTGAAAAACAAGATTTAGTTCAGTGTGCTGAAGTTTTTAAAAACAGTAATTCTACTCCACAAGAAGTTATCACTTACGGAATTCGCTTTCTTCTCTCTATGTATGGAGCTCCTAAAAAAACTACGTGTTTAGATAAGTTTCGATACGCATGCTTCGTTAAAAATACTCGAAATGAAAAACAAGTACAATTAGCTTGTCTTCCTCCAACTTCTGCGGCTGCTCATCAATATCTTTTACGGATATATTACAAAGTTCAAGTGTGGCTTGGTTATCAGCTAGACCCGAAAGACTGGGGTTGGAAGTTGGTCGACAATGCATTAAAACCAGTTCAAACTGCTCAACACAATTTTTTTCAACTGCAAAAAGGGATGTAGTGCTAAATGTGGTTGTAAAAAAGTTGGACTGTTTTGTTCTCTAACATGCACTAGTTGTCAAGGCCGATCGTGCTCCAATGTTGAATCATCAACACTTAAGGACTCGTTCGATACCAACGAGGAGACATGCGATGTATCACTATTCAGCCAATTTACGCATGCACCCAGGATGAAGAAGAACAAGGAGAAGAAGAAGAAGAAAAACAAGTAGAAGAGGAAGCAGAAATATTTGAGAATTATGATTCCGATGAATAAATTTCCCTATTTTTTTATTTTCACCGCTTTTATCATTTTCAACCCTTGCCAATATCTTTTATTATTCAATAGTTTTAAATTAAAAAGAGTTACAACAGATCAGTGGAATATGCCTACCGGGGAAACCACGCGCTAAGTACACTACCTCAAAGGTGGCGTAAAAACGTGTTCATATTACGACGATTACAACTTTTCTAACTTTTTAAATCGTTATATCTCAGAAACGGTGGCTCTTAGGAAACAAAATTTTAAAAATTTTTTATAGATAATTATCTGCTCTACAATTTTTGTCTGGACTAATTTTGTGATAAAACTTTCCGTTTTGCTGAAAATCGCGAAAAATACGTTTATGTGACTTTTGACCCCGAGAAATTTTTTTCCAGGTGCCGGATTGATGAGGACTTTTTAGGTTTCATTTATAATGGTGTTTTGAACAATCCTACCAATTTTCAGCTGGGTGGGAATTGTTTTACCCTCGTACGTCTGACTGGACTGGACTATTTAACTTTCGAGCTGAAATTCTACTTACACACGTTTGGACCCTTGAAGATTTTGGGGTGTTTTCTTGTTTGATGTCAATAGCATTGAATTATTTTTTGATATTGATGTCTAAGGCTCAAATGTTTCATCGATAGACAGGGTAGGTACCCAGACAACACACCAAATCCCAGAGATATCCACAGAATATCTTTTGTGGATATCCAATATATCCACAGGATATCAGAAATATTTCGTGGATCTAATATGGATATCCAAATGTCGGTCTATATCCAGAATATAAAAGATATCCTATGGATTATCCAGCAAAATATCTTATGGGTGTCTTCTAGAAAACACAAGAAATCCCAGAGATATCCACAGAATATATTTTGTGGATATCCAATATGGATATCCAACCAAATATCTGACTATATCCCAGGATATAGAAAAATTCGGATATTCAGCACTCAAAATATTTTCAACACTCTGCCTTTGATTTTGCCCACGAAGGAGAAAGTCATCCTTATTAGGACTCTTCAGCAATAAATGGAAATTCTCGAGTCCAGTCTCTAATGGAGTCTGATTGGGAAACAAATTTCGATCGAACTCAATTACGGCGGGTTGAGCATGAGTAGATGCGGAAGTGGTATCGCTATCTATACTTAGTGAGCAAAATCAAAAATTACATCTAGTGGGTATCCACGATGGTTTGCGTTCGCGCCTAGACTTTGATTATTTAGTGGATGTCCAAGGGATATTGAATACACCTTAAAAAAATTAATTTTAAATATCTGAACGGTACTATTAGCCACAATGGCGAGCACAATGGCGTAATTTTTTAATAATTTGCTATATAATTACTATTATTTATGGACATTTGCATGTCTATAAATTACATCTCATGGATATCAAATAGATATCCACCATGGACTGGACATCCAGTGGATGTTCAGTAGATATCCAAAGGATTTGATGTGCTGTCTGGGTATTTTGGAGGGCCAACATTTTCTTTACAACAATGATTATATAAAAACTGAAAACAAAAAGAAATTTAAATAACAAACCAATTATATTAACACTAAATCAAAAACAAGTTTGTAAACATTACTTACCATTGGTGCCAAACAGTGTAAGATGCATTTTTCTTGAGACACTTATTACAAATTATTTGGTTATCCTTAATATGACGACCGCATATTTAATGTGGTATAAATTGCATCACTATCAATATCTGACAGTACTTTATTGTTCGTTGCTGAAATCAATCTTTCCATCTTTTGAAAACATGCTTAAAGTTGGAAGGTGTTGAAAAATAAATCTAGATGAATCAAAATCCAACACAGCTTTAAATGCAACGGCCATTTTAATTTTGCAAAGTTTGAAGTTTTGACGAGCTGACAACTGACATGACATTTCGATACGAGCGCCATTCCGTTATTTGGAGTGGTACTAAATTACCTACCTCATGTTTTTCTATTTGAGTTAACAGCCCCTGGTACATATAAACCTTAAATACTTAGGTTTTGTAGTTGATAATATATTAAACTATTAAAAGCATTTTCAATACATTTATAACTAAATATCAAAAAAATTGTTTTTCATCAGCAGAGTTTCTGGTCATCTTATATTTAAGACTCCACATAATATAACAATCATTTAAACTCTCATTTTGATTACTGCTCGAGCTTATTAGGATTATTAGATTCTAACCATAAACAGCACTTCAAAAATTGCAAAATAGAGGGATGTGAATTATTTTGAAATGCATTATAACAATGCTTTTCACTTAAATTGGTTGTCTGTGAAGGATAGACTATTTTTATGTTCTCTGTTATTTGTTTATATATAGTTTATCATTATCCCACAAGAAGAGTTACTGACTTTTTATGTAACAAATTACTATACTATACTATAAACTCAATTTTTCATAATGGTTAATTTGCCTTTAATGCCCTTCCATATAAGATAAAAACTACAAATAACTTTAGAAGGTTTAGATAAATGTTACTAAACCATATCCAACAAAGTATGTCATGAACACACCTCTGATCAATCTTCTTTCTTTTAAATTTTTATATATCTGTCTGTATATTTTTATTTTATCTTATTATTTTATTTCTTATTTTGTATTATATCTATTAGTATTATATAATGTATTCGAAAGCTTTTTATCTTTGTATTTTTATTTTTATATAATTTTTAAATGTATTTTAGATTCAATAGCATTTATAAATTGTATGTAGGTATATTAGGATTACCTATTTAATAAATTTCTTTCTTACATCTGTCCAGTCACGGCAGGCAGCCAATTCACGAAACTCTCTTTTTTTCTCACGTAAAAATATAATTAAGCGTTTCATCTTTATTTTGAAGGATCCATTACCATAATGTATAAAAAATGATGTAAAGACTTTTATATAAGTTACAATATATTTTTTTACAAAGAAAATTACATATTACAGAAAACCTGAGCTAGAAATACTCATCAGGACAGCAACCCTTCAGAATTTTAATGGAGAAACCCAGAATCTAGGTTTGTATGGGGGAAAGAATGGTTTCACCTGGCAAAAAGGTATTGTAATGGATATTACGTGTGCGCAGTTTAAGCAATCTAGGGCGTTTTTTCTAGTACCTGGTACTGATTTTCTTTAAATTGACAACATCAACGTAGCCCTAGGAGGAGATGAGGAAAAAATGGTTTCAACTGGCAAAAAGGTAGTGGAATAGGTAATACGTGTGCGAAATTTTAATAATCTAATGTTTTTTTTTTCTAGTACCTGGACTGATTTTGTTAAAATTGAAACGAACAAAATATCCCTTGGAGACAATTGGGGGAAAAATGGTTTTACCTAGCAAACATTTATTGGGTTGTGTATTATATGTCCCAATTATTAACTATTAGGTACTCGTTTAGTAAATGACAGCCGTCAAATTCTGATCCGCAAATTAAAAATACCCAAAAAAGCTCTTAAGCTTTTTTCTTTGTCAGATGAGATGGATGAGTATAGATATCCCTTAAAACGATTCATTACTAATTCTCCTAATTTATTAAGCAGTCAGAAAAGCACCCGCAAAAAATGTTTAGAGTTTCATGACCTATTGAAAACAAATTAATAGGTATCCACCTTTTTCGAATCAAAACGAGCTGAGTCATTTTCAAACAACTATTCCTGTCAATTAATTACACTTGAATGAAAATAACTTTCTTCGTTCTTATCAGATACTTCTTATTCTAAAGCGATAAATAATAAAAATTGTCAGCAATTTATTATTGTTGTAGTACAAAAATGGCATTCTTTGCCAAAATAGTGATATACGGTATTATATTATGTAAGAAAATAAATTTTATTTCTTTGAACACCTTTCACTTTCACATACCAGCAATTTTAAAACGAAGTATTTTTTATTATATTTCAAATCTATAAATAAAAACAGTTTCATTAAATTTTAAATTTTAATGAATTTTTAATGTACCTATATTCTAATAGTTAATGTAGAAGTATATAAAATAATTATTTACTGCATCATTTAGAAATTAAAAATCTGATGTGTCCAACACATGACTTTCCTATCTAGTTATTACAGGCTTTTTCCGTTTATTGTGTACAACCTATTGCAGCATCTCTATAAATGTTTAGAGGATAAACTAAATATATACATTGTCCACATACATCTACCGCGAAACATTTTTCTATAGATATTCATTGAAAATGAAAATACTGAAAAATTTAAATTTAGCACTTTTCCTACAATTTTTCCATTACGGTCCATTTAAAAAAAACCATGTATGAACAAATATTATAGAGATCGATATCGCAAACAACTTTTATTTCAACAATTTTCGTAAAAATCAGAATTTTGCACATTTTGTCAAATTTCTCGAATACGGACCATTTCAGGAAATTTTTACATGAGGCAAAAATTATAGATAATAATATTTGAAGTAACTTTTAATTGAACAATTTTCTTCTCCAAACATAAATAACAGATATATTCCATAAAATATAAAAACGGCCTTCTATAAAGTACCACCCCAGATGTTCCGACTTTGTCCAAAATCTAATCATTTCACGTCAGGCCGAAATAAACCTTAAGTTTAAAATTTAATGTTTTTTTCTTTATCCGTTTTTGAGTTTTCTTCAAAATTCGAAATTTACACATTTTCTCAAATATCTCGAATACGGTCCATTTTAAAGAAATTATGTATAGAATAAAAATTATAGAAAATTATATTACAAACAACTTTTATTTGAACAATTTTTATA